AAGTAGAAAATACACCCTATGAGCTTTGTTTCAATAATAAACGAAATTTGGGTTTTCTCGAAGTGTGAGGTTTTTTCGCATATGTAGGATTGCTGGATCTAAAACGAAATAAATTGGGACCCCAAACCTCTAGATGTGCTTTTGTAGGGTATGCACAAAACAGTAAAGCCTATCATTTTTTAGAACTAAGTTCTAATGCCATAATTGAATATAGAGACTTTGAGAATTTAACTCACAAAAGTGAACCATAATGTGTTGATCCTCTTCCAAGAGGAGATGAACAGGACACCTGTAATAGACCCATTGAAGAATTTATTGAACTAAGAAGTAAGAGAGCAAGAAAGAATCCATTATACAATTTCGGGCTAGATTTTTATATTCACATGGTGGAGGCCAAGGTTTTAAAAACTGCTAACTCGGATCGAAATTGCCTGATCCGGATAGAAAATTGTTGAAGCCAGTCCAGTTCCTATCATATATCGGGAACTGGTTGAGTCCGCCTCTGAAACGGTCAGCTCTTGGCTGTCTTGTCAGGAACTGGCCGATTCTGTCAGAACTACACTGGTCGGTTTTATCTTGAATCGGTTCTTGGGGGCGGGGGGAGAATTTATGCAAGTTCATTTTTTAAATACTAATAAGGGTTGAAATGGGTATGGTCATCTTTGAATTTTTTCTTTTCAAAAGAGGGCCGATGGCCCAACCCATATTTTTACTTAAGAGTGGGGCGCCAACCATTAGCTGGCCCCAAAAAATCACGCATGGCATTGCAGGGCGTAATGTGCAAGTGGGGTGTGAGCCTCAAGCTACTTATACAACGTCTTCTGCCTATAACTCTCTGATGCGGGGCAATTGCTCTCGCTTTTTTACGTGAGCCTCTTGTGCCTTAAGCCCTTTACGATGATATATTTGCTTTGTTCAACAAATCGTGGTCTACGCGACAAAATTGTGTACATCGTGCAATCTCTGATGAAATTTTATATTTAAAGAAATTGCCCCTGTCTTTTACCTGTTTGATAGAGAGTGCCCTTAGCGGTCTTCAGTCCTAATTTTTCTCATTGCATGCCTAAATTTATTTATTTATTTTCTTAACTTTTGTTAAAATATGATTGCAAATTTTATATTTCTGTGTATATTAATTATTACACCTTATATCTATTTATCTGGTAACATATACTTTTTGCTTGCTAAATCTCAAGTAGTAGAGTGGATTTTTTTTTTTTAAAATTATAACCATGTGGGCAAGACTTTGGAAATGATTTAACTTATATGATATTTGAGGTTTTTTAGAAATGAAAACCTCGTCAAAAAAAAAGAGAAAAAGAGAACTTCTAGAATAGAGAAAAGCATGTGTGGTGTGAGAAAGCAAAAATGGAGGATCATAGTGTTTTACCAGATTCCTTTTTTTTTTTTTCATTATAAAAATTTGAGTTAGATAAATCCATTTTATTGCAATGAGTTGCATTTAAATCCTATATTGACCATAAAATGAATTTAATGGTCAACAAACACTTAGACATGAGACATGTTCACAGTATTTATGTGTTTTTAGTAGAATAATGAAAAGTATAATGCAATACCATTATTTCTTTGAAAACCTTAAAAACTAGATTTTAAAGAAATTCTAGTGATTTTTTTTATTTTTTTAATGCTAGATCTTGCGGTTTTTCCCATTTGGTTCCCCGATCCACCGATGCGACATTGTTTTTGAGGTACCTAAACTGGGTCACCTACCGTTTTTAAAACCTAGGTGGAGGCTGACTAAATTCTAGTATCGAGTGAAATACTCGTGGCTTCAAATGAGGATGAAGAACCTTCTGCTTTAAGTGAAGCACTAGCATCTCATGATGTCGTCTTTTGCAGAGAAGCCGTTAATTGTGAAATGGATTCAATTCTTGCTAATTATACGTGGAAATTAGTAGACTTGCCATCAAGTTATAGACTTATCAAGTGTAAATGGAGTTTCAAAAAAAGGAATGCCGATGGGTCTGTTAGCAAGTGCAAGGCCAAGTTAGTTTCCATGGGTTTTAAATAAAAATAGGGTATAGACTAGTTTGATACTTATGCTCACGTAGCGAGGAAATCTACGATAAGTGTGTTACTTGCTCTAACCACTATTAACTGTTTGATTTTTCACCAAATGGATATAAAATTTGCTTTCCCAAATGGTGAGTTGGATGAAGGAATTTGTATGGACCAACCAGAAGGTTTTGTTATGCCGGGCCATGTACACAAAGTGTGTAAATCGGTCAAATCTTTCTATGGGCTGAAACAGGCTCCAAAATAATGGCATAATAAATTTGATGCTGTAATATTGTCAAATGGATTTAAAAAAAGTTAGGCAGTCAAGTGTGTATATGTAAGGAATTTAATTCAATGTGTCATAAGTTGTCTGTATGTTGATGATATGTTAATATTTGGCTGTAACTTGGAAATTGTAGAGGAAACCAAAATGTTCCTCGAAGCTAACTTTGATATGAAGAATTTAGGAGTGGCTGATGTGATACTTGGTAATCAAGATAATGAGAAAGAATGATGCTTTGGTTTTAACCCGATCACAATATATAGAAAATATGCTTAATAATTTGAGATGGTGATTGTAAGCTAGCACTCACACCAATGAATCCTCATATAAAGTTATTAAGAAATGAAGGGTTATGTATTTCTCAAATTAAGTATATAAGAGTAATTGGTAGTTTGATGTATGCAATGAGTTGTACGAGGCCAAACATTGTGTATGTACTGCATAAACTTAGTATATATACTAGTTGCCCAAGTAGAGAGTAACAGGATGAGATATCGCAAAGGAACTATCAATTTGTGCATACATTATACTTGTATCACACAATGTTGGAAGGATATAGTGATGCAAGTTGGAGCAAGCAACTCAAAGAGTCATTATCCACATCCGCAAGGGTATTCACCTTAGGTGGTGGAGCAGTATCATGCTGCTCAAAGAAACAAACGTGCATATCTCGGTCCATTATGGAGTTGAAGTTCATCGCAATAGAATTTGCTTATGAGGAAGCCGTGGCTAAGGAATTTACTACATGGAATTCCATATTGGCCCAAACCAAATGCGGCGACCACAATTAATTGTGAGGTGCAAAGGCTCTTGATGACACACTTTAGCACTTGCACGTTCGGATTGGCTCACGAGACACTCTTGCCTAAGCACGTGTGCGGGTCAGGCTCCTGGCCCATCTTTCATTTTATTGCAACTAGCTTTGGCACAGGTAGGTTTTAATGAGATTTGGTAATGTGCTCCTCCAGTGATGTTGCATGGTTCCTGTTGATTGGTGCAGTCCGGTGAACTGTGGCCCATCGGATGGTTTCGGTGGATCGGTGCGTTTCTTGCATTCTGGAGAAGTGTCTCACTAGTGAAGACATGTGATTTCGGTAGATTGGTGCACTTAGGTACCTGTATTCCATTAGTGCAGATGTGTATATAACGCATGACAGTTATATCTCTAGAGCTCGAAGAGACACTATGTGACTATGGATGAAAAGTGTGGCGGCTGCTTTCTCGGAACCCAAAAAGTTACTATTTGACTGTTGGATCTCAATTTGCTACAGATGCGCCTCACTGATGGTTGAGATTTTGAGAGATGAAATTCTTGACTTATATAGTTACTTGGAATAGTGAAAAAGCACTTCATTTCTCTATAAATAGGACCTCTTTCCTCTTGTTTTTTGTACAAGTTTAACATACAAATTTTCTTCTTTCCAAAATGTTTTGTGAAAACTCTCTCTCTTGAAAGCTACAACTCTATTGCTTCAGATCTCGCAATACTTGTGCATTTGTATTGATGAGATAGTTTTCTCAATCGTCTACTCCCATGTATCTCGAGGACAAATTTGCTTGATTGAAACTTAGATGCACATTGATTCTTATCAGTAAGGAGCAAATATTGTCTTGAGAAAGCGATATATCACGTATGGGATCAGAGATACTGTAAGATTTTTTTTTTTTTTTGCCTTGTTTCACTCTCCCATTTCCAACAACTTAGCGTCGCTCTAGATTTCCTCTAAATAAGAGACCGAGCATGTGTCTATACTTAAGTATTTTTGATTTCCTAAAAACCACACAGGGTATAAGGGTTTGTATTTTATAACTCATCTTGATAATACCACACCATGTGTATGATAAATGCATTTCCTAAAAACCACACTGGGTATAAGGGTTTATATTTTATAACTCATCCTGATAATACCACACCATGTGTATGATAAATGCATGTACAAGTTTCATTTAGTTTAACCACCATGTCAAGTTCTTTTAAATTCATTCATCATTGTATTCAATTGATTACATTACTTGAATAAGGTGGTACCTAGTTTGATTCCTTGCAAATTTGTTACTTATTCCAGTGCCCATACTTATTTCTTGTTTGTGTCTATACTTGTTCGTGTGTCTTATTTTGTACTTATTCTTTGCAAATAAGTAACAAATTTATAAATTTGTTACTTATTCCTTGCATGTGTCTATGCTTAGAGCATGTGATTTCCTAAAGAGCACACAAGCTATAAGGATTTATATTTTGTAACTCATTTCAATAATACCACACCATGTTACAATAAATGTATGCACAGATTTTGTTTGGTTTACCACCATGTCAAGTTTCTTATCCTTGTTTTTGACTTCATTCAATTGAGTGCATTACTTAAATAAGGTGGTACCTTGATTCCTTGCAATTTTTCACTTTTCGAGTGTAAGGTGGTCCTAGCGGGACATTCATGCTTCTCTAGGACCTTCATGCTTCTCTATCTTTTACACATTATGTTGTCCCCTTCTTCATCCAACCATCAGGATTGGGTACTAGTGTGAAAATAATTGCATGTCATTTCCTTTCTAATGAGTAAAACAATCCAATATTGATATTCAAATTGGGTGCATAATTGAGAAACTAAATGGTTGGCAAGGTTGACAGCAACATGGTGTTTGCATTCTGCAATTATTATTATATTTTAAGATTTTGTCACTTGTGATTTTATGGATACAGTGAATACTCGAGGAGTAAAACATAAGGACTTCGGTGGTTTGGACAATGGTGATGATCGTGCAGCTTTTCTAAACCATGCATATAAACCGTTATCTCAGTTTGTACTGGATGATACATTCAGAGAATTTGAATTTAGACAATATCTCTTTGCCTGCCAGTCAAAGGTACGTGGATCAGTTGTACTCAAAATATTCTGTTCAAAGTGTGACCCTACACTTCATACTGTATAAAGATTACTTAATGATTTTATTCAACAAGCTTCAATGCATGCGCATCTTGACAAATTCCTTCAAGAAACTGCAGTACATTATGCATGCCTATATTATTGCTGCTAATGTGTATCACAGGTCTGATTTCATAGTCAAAAGAAATTGTTTTTTAGTGCCATGGATTCTAATTTGCAGCTTGTCACGTTTCAATGTTATGCATGGGATTTGGACCTGTAATTCTGGGTGAGGGAGTTGGGATTTAACCCTTTTAAATTTGGGGAAAATCCTAATATGAGGAGCTTTTCTTAATCCTTGGGTTTCAGGTTTGGTTGCCTGCTTAATTTATGAAGAAAAGAGCTAATCTGGCAGCAATATTGATCTTTATCTTGAATACTGCAGCTATTATTCAAGCTAAATCGCCCAGTCGAGGTTGCATCAAGGGGATACTCATTCATAATAAGTTACTCGAAAGCATTGTCAAGGCATGAAGTATGTGGTGTGACTCCTTATTGATATTGATTACTGAGTGTTCTGCTATTAAATCTTTTAATAGTTGAAAGAACAAGTAACGTTTTGATTGTGACGTATATCCTAGAGGTCATAATGAACTTACTCTTAACCTTCTTTTCTTCTATCACAAATTTCTGAATGTGATACTTTGCAGAACAAACTACCTTTTTGCTTTCGAGAAGTATGGATAATAAGTGCATGTTTGGCTTTAATCAATGCAACTGTCTCTCGCTATGATGGGGGACTGGTGACGCCTGATGTTGAAAAAGAATTCTTTCGCCTACAGGGTGACCTTTATTCCCTTAGCCGTGTTAAGGTAACATCAAATTTTGATGTATTGTCTGAAAATCGTATGTTCGTTTAATTATTCTATGCTTTTGTGATTACGGTGACACTAGGATTTGTTGAGCTTGGAGTTAGCTCAGCGGGTGTTTAAGCTGCTTTTCTTTAGACCAGTGTTTAGGAACTTGCCGACTCTGGCTTGAACCTGTCTGAGTCACTTGGACCCATCCAAGTGCTGGATCCTGTTGAAAAACCTCAGAAATTGACAGAGTCTTACTGGTTCTTGAGGCTACTATGTTAACTTTCCATGGACTTGGCCAACTCCTCTAAAGACGTGGCTGTGCCGAACTGGCTGACTCGAGTTCTGACCCTGCCCTCTATCGAGCTCAAATCCATGTTCTCAATCACTGTTTTGTACAGTTGTTTGTTGTACAATGTGGATAGCTGTCAATTTGTAGTTTTAATGGTCAAGAATATTTTATGATTTAAGGTAGTTGAATATTGTGAATTATTGGCCTTGAATCTAGATAATTCTTAATGGTGGCTTTCATTCTCAAGAATGCATTGGAGATTTTTGTTATGGCTCTCATAAGATAACAAAACACATATTCTTCTGAAGTTGTAATATTTGAATCATATTTTGGAGAAAGAACAATTCATTGGTTCCTCTTACAATACCCATTCTCTTCATACCTTGTTAGTGTAATGTTGTCAATATCTTGCTCCTTGTTAATCAAAGTTATGCTTGTACTATTCTAAAAAAAAGTTGCACTTGAGGTATCCAATAGTTGGTGGTTGCATCTGGTTATCGATCTCGATGGGAGGGGTTATGGAACAAAGTATTTCTCCGACCCCTTAAGAAATTTATCACTTGAAGGCCTTTGAAATCACAGATACTAGGGCCCAAGAGCTGACCATTCTTCAAATATTTTCTAACTCGAGTTATTTGTAAGGAGATGGGGGTACTTTTTGCTGTAATAACCAAAGTTCTTTTCCTTTGTCCCGTCTTCCTTCTATCTTTCTTTTTGGATAAATTAAAATTCATTGAGAAATTATGTGTCCATCTAGTTACACCCAAGTGTGCAAACCTACAGGGAAATTGTCGGACACGTTTAGAAAAAATAGACTAGGAAAATATGAAAACTGGACATTGAGCTTTGAAAATAAGTAATAGTGGTCCCCTGCCTAACCCCATGTCCCCCCCACCCCTCCATGTCTCTTATGCCCACCTCCTGAAACCCACGCCTCACGTCATCTCCCCTCCACACCTTCCTCCCCCTCCCTCTGCCCCTTCTTCCTCCTCCCACCGTTCCTCCATCCTCCCCTCCCATACCATCTCCTCTAATCCCAAACTCATTTCTATCCTGGCTGATAGAACCTCGCAACCCAAACAAGAACTCCTTTCCTCCCTCGTTGGTGTTTTCCATCCATGCTGAAACGACTTCAGAGGCATAGAAAAATGGGGGCAACATGTGTGGAAGGTAGCCAATGGTTCCATTCTATTATCTTTCTCCTCTGAAAGCAGGGCACTCTGAGCACTTCAAGGCCCTCAATCCTTGTCCTTCAAAGGTGCACATCTTTCAACTCCAATGCTGGTCCACTGAGTTGGTGGCTTTCAGAAAACAACAGGTATGGTTGACGGTCTCTTCCATTGCTCTGTGTGCCATCCACTGGAAATCTTCAGAATACCTGTGTGCCATCCACTGGAAATCTTCAGAATACCTCCCCTTTGGCTCCATTTTATTACTTATCGAAGTTCTTGATCCCCAATTTATCCCTCCAACAATTTGGCTGGAAGTTGAGGGCTAGTTCTTTTGTGTTTTTCTCTCTTGGTCTTTTGCCTCTCCCCCCTCCCGCCTCCATGTTCAGCCATCCCTGTTGCATGATAGCCCCTCCCCCAAGGACCATGGTTCTTGGACCAAAGTTTCAAGACGCTGTCCACATGGGAACATTTGTCGCCATCCTCAACTGCATCTGACGGTCCCAAGCATCCCCCCAGATCTAGTCCCAATCCCTTCTTCCCCCTCGATTCCTACTCCTACCTCGTCCCCCTCTCACCTTTTGGTTGACCTGTCATCTACTTTACCTGTACACCTGCTGCCCTCCCAGCTTGATGGTATTCATCCCATCCCCACTCCTTTTCACCCTCCAAGCCCCTCCCATGTGTCCAACCCGTCTCCCCACGTCCCCCCTTTGTCCTTGTCGTCCCCTCCTCTATGCCCATCTCTCTCATCCCCCCCTCTCTCCTCGTACTTTCCCCTCGATCACGTTACCTCCATTCTTCTCCCAAGCCACATGTCTCTTTTGTCATCCTCATCTCGACACGTTCCGGCCTCATATGCAGCCTTGTCCCTTCTTGAGATTGCTTCCCCAAAATCACCTTGTGCCCATATCTCTACATGCACTCCATTCCTCCTCCCCTCTCCACCCTTGAGATTCGAACCCTATCCCCATTGGCTGTGCCTCGTCAACTTGCATCACCACCTCTCCCACCATCTCTTTCGTGACCCTGCCTCCGTCCCCCGCTTTCCAGACCGCCCAAGCTGTACCCCAGCTTCCTCCCTCGCTCCCACCTTTTGACTCTATCCCTTTCTCGTGTCCTCGTCTTATTGCATCTTTCCCGCCTAGCTTTCCCACCACAGAACCACCTCCTCTCGTCGACTTCTTGCTGCCAGAACTCACCTCTCCATCTGTAGATTGCCGACCCCACCCCCCCAAATCTCCTCCAAGTCCCTTATTGAAACTCCTTTTCTTTCTACTGACTTGCAATCTCCCCCTCCCTCTTTATTGCCTCCCCTTACTATGGCTCATTGCAGCGAACCTTCCAACCAACAACCTCCATCATTGGTGCTACCACACCAATTGCCTCTCAAGGACTTTGGACTCCTCCCAGCCCCTCCCATCCTTTACCCTAACGTTGTAGAACCCTACCCCGCTTACTCCCCCCGCCCCCAATTCTAACCCATCCCCTTTTGCTCTCATCCCTTTCCCCCTGCCCTGCTCCTACCCCACCCGTTCTCAAGGTATTGCAGTGCCCCCTCCCCCTTACCGCTTTCCCCCTTTCTTATCTCCCTCTATCATTGCTTCCCCATTCCCCTTCTTACATCGACTACCCCCACGGTCCTTTCCTTGTGGGGCCTTTCCTTCCCCATGGCTTAAATCCCCTCTTGCACCTCTTCCGCCCTTCCTTTGTCTCCTCTTCCTCCTATCCCTCTCCCTCCCTTCCCTCATTCTCTTAACCCTCACTTCTTCTATTCCTCTCCCGCCCCCCCTACAGCCAATCCTTGTCCTCCTAAATCAGCCCCCTCCTCTTCCTCTTCTCTCCCCTCGACCCCTACAACCCCTATATATACCTCATCCTCTATTCCGGCAACACCCCCAGGTACTCTCCTCCCCTGCCAGGATCCTCCCCCCATATTCTAATTCCTGAGGAGCACAACCCATAAGCCTATTCTGGAGCATCCATCTCCTCGAATCCCTCCTCCCCCTCTTCACCCACCTCGGCGAGCTCTTCCTTCCTCAAAAATTTGGATGCGGCTCAAGGTAATGTCTGTGAGGTCCTCAAGGTAATGGGCTTCCCCTTTGGGGCCAGAGGGATCTTTCCATGCTTTCTTCAAGGCCGACGCCCATGCAAGATTCAAGATAATCTGCAAAGGGAAGAGAGAGCTATCTAATTTAGTTTGCGCATCAACTACGATCGGTCGGCCTCCCACTTAACCCCAGAATGCCCCCTAGCTCTCGGCGCCTTGGCTAAGGACCCCATCCTTAGATGCTCTCTCAGGAGTGTCTCCACCCTCAGACCCTCCTCATGATTATCCTCTCTTAAAACGTGAGGGGTGTGGACCACCCCAACAGCCGGATTGCAGTTTGGGACCTTTGCCTCAAGCATCGTCTGACCATCCTAGCCGTTACCGAGACCAAGCTCCCTTTGCAACTCATTAGACAAATTTGGGGCCATAGTTTGTGTCAGTGGGAAGCCCTTCCTGCTATTGGGGCATCATGTGGTGTCTGGGTCATTTGGGCCACTCTGCTCATGCCCTTAGCGCCTCTCATAGTGTCAATTTTTTGATAATAGTTATGTTATCCAAAGTCACCGATGGACTCCAATGGAAGTTCTTGGTGATTTATTGCCCTAATTCTGAATATGTCAGGCACCAATTTTGGATGGAATTGGACACCGTCGCTTCTCTTTCCACCCTATTTGGTGCTTGGGCGGTGACGTCAATGTCACGCGCTGTTCCTTCGAGCGAAATTCCACTCGTCGCATCACGCCAGGCATGTTAGCCTTTTCTGACTTTATCTCCAGGAAAGACTTATTAGATATCCCTCTTCGAGGAGCACAGTTCACTTGATTGAGCCATTTAGACACCCCATCCCTCTCCAAGCTTGACCATTTTCTTTTAGTGTGAATTGAGACTCTTGTTTTCCTGGGTCCCACGTTTGTGCCTTACTAAAGGTTACTTCGGATCATTACCCCATTCTCTTGAATACCAACCCGGCCCCTAGGGGCCCTAAACCCTTTTGTTTTGAACTCTCTCCTCTCCCTGATCCCTCTCTGGTGGAACTCCTCTTCCTATTTGGTGGAAGGATGGGAGGGTTTTAGACCACAGTGTGAACACCAATTGCTAAAAGACTCCCTCAAGGTGTGGAGCAGACACCTTCCTGGCTCTTTCCAACCCCACAAAGCTCTCATTCCAAGCTATCCAGAGCCTCGATTTGGCAGAGGAATCTAGACCCCTCTCGACCTCCGAGCAGCAGTAGAGATCCCAACTGAAATTTGACTATCAAGCTGTTCTTAAAAGAGAAGAATTTTTTTGGTGCCAAACGTCCAGGCTGAAATGGCTCCACTTTGGGTATCTCAATACTTCCTTCTTCCACAGAACAACCAACTGCAGGCGCAGGTACAATACCATCACCCATATCAAATTGGGTGAGAGAGTCCTAGACCAACCTATGGACGTGGAAGATGCAATTCTTAATCATTTCAAGCTACTCTTCACTCCTCCCTTTGGTCCTAGACCGAGGGTGGGAGAT